CTTCTTATATTTCACTTTTATACTTTTCTGCTGGATGGTTAAGACCAAGGTAAAGCAGGACCTATGCAACAAGAGTTGTAGCTTTTGGGTCTGATAAGGTGAGTGAAATCCCCTCAGGATTTATCCTGAGATCCTGTGCCTCAGATTGTAGAACCTTTGTCAGTGTCAGCCATGTGGATGAATCGTGGCCATTGCTTGGCCAATGTGCTTTATGTGAAAGCCTGAGAGAATGTTTTCTCTCCATGTGACTCTCCTTAGGCACACTCTACATCATCAATCACTTTCCTGTTTGGCCCCATAATCTCCTTGATCAGAAAATTTGGGACACTACCAAGTTACGTGATGTAACAGTACAAGTTCTCATATGTTCTGAGTCTTAATTGACCTTGGAAGGCTAGGGCAAAAAGGTTGGATTTCCTCACAGCCCTCCTTTTTCTCTAATTTTGGTCTGCAAACTTAGGTTGTTAACCATTCGGAAGACAAGCTTATTGTTATTACCATACAACTTAGGTTGTTAAGCTTCACCTCACTATCTGTCTGAATATCAAACATCTTAGGCATAACTTGGAACAGGCATTTTTCATCAAGTATTGATATGTTGAACTTTAAGTCCCGACAGAATATGATAAAAAAGTTTAAAAATTAGAATATATTTTAAAAATAAGCATAAAGAATTATACACTTCTTATGTTTACACATAAGTCCAAAACACTAACCATATACAACCTTGAAACAAGACAGTCCCACATTATTCCTTTTCCTGTCTCTTGCTTTCCTTGACCACCTCCTTCTTCTTGAACAACCATCTTCCTGAGAGACATCATAGCAGCAACTGTCATGCCATCACAAGCAGCCCATATTCAGAAGACCAGAATGACAGGCACTCCAAGCATAAAACTACTATTACAAATTACCATCTGCAGTGTAGTAGCTTAGTTCACAGGTATCAGTATATATAGATAGTCAAGGTGAGAATCTTTCCAATTTACTACTAGATTAAAAAACCTTCTGAAGATTCTCAGGATCATTGCCTTGCCCATCTTCTACATATAACTGTATGGCTTGACTTATTCATGTTTCCTAGCTCTTCTCCTTTCCCTTTCTTGGTTAGTTAGTCCTTGAGATCCTGGTTTCCTTTTACTTGTATTATATCTTTCTATTTGTATTTCTTCTTTTGAGATCCTATACAAGGGAGAGGCTGTATGATATTTACAAATGTGTGTCTGGTTTATTTCACTTATGAGTATATGTTCAAGTGGCATTCACTTCAATATAAAGGATTCAAGTTTATCATTCTTAATAGCTGAATAATACTCCACTGTGTAAAAATACCACATCTTTTTCAACCATTCCTCAGGTGATAGGCATCTTGGTTATTTCCAAGATTTGGCTATCACAAATTGTGCTGCTATAAACATAGGCACAAATATATCCCTATGATATGATATTTTCAGATCCTCCAGGAAAATTCCCAGTAGAGGAATAGCTGGTTTAAATGGATTTCCAGTCCAACTTTTCTAAGGAGTCTCCACACTGATTTCCATAATGGTTGTACCAGTCTACATTCCCACCAGCAGTGGAGATGGGTTCCTTTTTCCCCACAGCCTCTCCAACATTTGTTGTTGGGTGATTTCATTATGATAGCCATTCTTTCTGGGGTGAGATGATATTTCA